TTTTTTGATTTTTAAGAGATGGGATAAGTAAATATTCATAAAGAAAAATCTTAGGCCCGGCCCGGGTTTAAAAAAGTTAAAATTTTATTTCTAAAAAATAGAGAGGAGTTTTGAATTCCTTTAAGAAATATATCGCGATGAAATCTTGATAAAAAATTAAGTTATTAAAGCAGTCTGTAAGGGGTTAGTCGTATAGATTGCAAATATTATATGAAAAGATAAGTTTTATTATAGATATTCGATTTTCTTTATGTATAAAAGATCTCTTTTTATAAGTAAATTTTATTATTTATATATATGGCAAAATATCGCCTCAGATCAGGGGCGGGCCAGTAAGCCTGGTGGGAAAATCTCCCACGGGGCCTCGAGATTTTACAATTTGGGGGCCTCTTCTTAGTAAATTACAAATTTGGGGGCATCTTTGGTAAAGAAAAAATAATTTTTTAAAATTAAATTGGCTTAATATCTAAATATGTTTTAATACAATTTTTTTTTTAAATATTAGAAATTTAAATAATTAAATATTAATTTAATTATCTGGTGGAATTATAAGCACTATAAAAAAATTCATACATTCACTCATTCATTTTATTTAAAATTCATGTTTATATATATAAAACACATTATTATTATTGAAAATGGACCAAAATAAAAATAATAAACAACACAAGTAATACTAAACCCCATAAAAATAATTTATGATTTTTCATATTCATTTTATTAATTTATCTTGAAATTAAATAACTATTTTAACCCAGAACTAAGTATATGTATTAATCCCCCTCCCAACTAAAATGAGCCATATTTGTTTCGCAAACATAAACCAATGTAAATGTTTAAGGATTTCTCTGTACTAGAGTTGAATCTTTACTTAAAATATATATTGTTTATTAATGATCTTATATTCAAACATGTAACATCATTATCTGGCATAGATCATTAATATAAAGAAAAAATATATAGATAATCTAGATATCATTATCTGGCATAGATCATTAATATAAAGAAAAAATATATAGATAATCTAGATAGCTATTTTGTTAAATATAAATTCTAATTTTATAAATCTATATTTTTCATATTATCATGCATAAAAATAAGAAAATACAAAAGTGGAGAAGAAAAACTTCTTGAGAAATCTTGTAAAGAACTTAAGATTGCTGGTGAAAATCTAAAACATCAAAAGTTGTCTTTTTTCAATATAGCAACTACAAACTTATTAAAAACATCTTCATATTTTGTAACTCAGACTCCCCTTTATGCTCCAAAAAGGTAATACAACGTTGCCTGACGTTATAGTTCATACTATAAAAAATCCACATAAATCACATCTAAAAATATCATCCATCTTTATGTTTATTACAAGTATCTTCACCCATTATAAATTTTGGATCATGTTATAATATAACATCTGATTTATTTCATGCTCAAACTATAAAAATAGCATATTTAACATACTCAGAGACTCCAGCTTCTTATTTACCTTTACATAATATGATAATTTCACCAAATATTTCAATAATTCCTATACTATCCCTAACTTTAAAGGAAACTTCATCTTTATCTACATTACAAATACCTACATCTATAAATTCTAGTCAAATATCTGGCTTTTCATGCACAGAAGCAGCAAATTTAAAGAAAAAGATATCACCCATTAAGTCAAATTTATTTCATATAAATTCAAATGCAACAATTCCACAAAAACTTACCTTTTTACAGCAACATCCAATACAATCTGTGGATCTGAGACTTAATACGTTTTGTATTATAGAGTAGTTATGAAAGATAAAGTATCACGAAATTGGCTTTCAGTTACTATAATTAATGATGAAATTAAAGCTATTTACGCCTCAATTTGTATAGCTTTTGCTGGTTATGAAAATTCATTTTCAAAAGTGTGCACCAATTTTAAACATATATATATTAGTTGTTGAAAAGTCAAATGCTATCGATTTTGAGCCGTGCGCAACTTTTTTTTTTAAAAATATATTACATTTTTATATTATTAGATTTCGTTTATTATAAAAATATTTCAGAGCTTTTATTTAATCTTTATCAATATTTTATTTTTTTGTTCTATAAATATTTTGTTAACTGATTTTTTTCCTCAGCCTTGCATATTAATAAAAAATAAAAATATATATAAAACAATTATGATTTAGTAAATATATTACAAGAAATAATAAGAATTATAATATAAAATTATTCCTAATATATAAAAAATATGAGAAGATTATTTTAAATCATTTATATTTATTACAGATAGGCTTGTTGTAACCATTAAATGAAAGAAATAATATAAGTAATAATCACAAAGTTCATAAATTAATGAAGAATAAAGCATTCAACTCAAAGGATGAGTAATTCTTTTAAAATGATCATATACATAGGGATAGGTTCTAAATCGCTAAAACAAAAATCACTAAAAATTAGGAATCTCGCTTATATCTCCTAGAAAATTTTTAAAGTGAATTTGAAATAGTGTTTAGTCCCCTAGTATCTATTAATATTAATTTCAAATTAATTTTAAAAATTCTCTAGGAGATATAAGCCAGATTTAAACGGAAACCTATACATAAATATTAAAAAGATAAAAATTATTTAAAATTTTAATATATTATATTAGATTTCAAATAAAATCTTATAATTCCCTGCAGCAGGCCGAAGCGGGTCGTAGGCCCCCACCCACAACTATACGGTCTTTCCCTTTCTTAGAAATCTCCCACAGGGCTTTAGTCTCCCAGTCCGCCCCTACCTCAGAAAAAATAAACTTTCTTAAACACAATTAAACATAATAACATGTCCAATTAAAATATCAAATAACGCCTTAAACGTTAAAAATATAGATAATCTATTATTTAACAGTTATTGGAGTTTTAAACTGAGAAAATACAGATATGCAAATTTTTAAATTATTTCAATAGTGCACGTGCTCCCAGTATAAAAACATGTGTTTTTCGCGGTCTGTGGTTAAATTATTTGATAATTTATTTCCCATATTGGTGGAAAATAAGTTGGAAAAGACATACATTCATTATATACTCATATAAAGATAGACAAACAGAACGCAATAGGTACGAATTTTTAAAAAGAAATAAAAAAATTTTAATTAATTTTTTAAAATAATTCTAAATAATCAAATTATAAGTAAATAGAGGTAGAATTATAAATGAAAATTATAAATAATGGTATAGGGTAATGTATGTAAAAGGGTTAAATTTTTTTGGAAAATAATTAGATGTTATAAATATTTTCAAAACAATATTAATTTTAAAATGATGTTCTTATATTGGATAATTATAAAAAAATGACAAGGGTCTTATGTCTGATTTTTGAAACAGAATTTTAACTCAAAGAGTTGAAGGGTTGTATATTTTTAATTTGATAAAATAAAAATAAGGATTTCATATATATAAACGATTATTTTCTTTATTTTTATAGTCATTGTAAATGAAATAAAAATTTTCTTTAAAGAGATTTATTTTTATTGTCATTTAAATGAGATAGAAGATTTAGAAAGAGTTATTTATTTGTATTTGTGAGGGTAATGCAGTAGAGAATGTATAAATGATTATTTAATGTGTGAAAGTTTGATTTTTGATGTGATGAAATCATGTTGGAAAATATTTAATTTGAATTTATAAAGGGTTTTTAATGTGTGAAAGTTTTATTTTAATGTGATGAAATTTTATTAGAACGTTGTAATTTATAAAGGGTTTTTAATGTGTGAAAGTTTTATTTTAATGTGATGAAATTTTATTAGAACGTTGTAATTTACAATGTGGTGAAATTGAAATAGGTTGATATCAAAAAAAAAATTTTTTTGCACTGAAATATGAATTAATTGAAGAATTTAATGGAGATGTATTAGCAGGGATGCGAACCCGGCAAAATTTTTGCCAGGGTTCGGTTTAATGTTAAAAAAAATAGGTGGGTTCGGTTCAGGTAATCATTTTTGAACCCGCATTTAAGAATTTTTGAATTGATAAAAATAATTATATATTTAAATCATAATTGAAATACTAGACATAAATTTGGTATAAAAAATAAATTTTTTATTTTTATAGGCGAAATATAGTTAAAAATATAATACATAGTCATGTATCAATTTAAAAAAATTTTATTTAGATGTATTTCTTTAAATAAACAATATCCAATATAATAATTTTTACTTTGACAGTCACTTTCATTTTCCTCTGATTAATAATGTTTGAGAATAAGTTAAAAATTAAAAATAAATGGCGTAAATGAATTATTTGTTTAAAATTTATTTAACACTCCAATAGGAATCTTTGGGAATAAATTTAAAAAAAATTCAAAATGGCGTAAATGAATTAAGGTGTTTAAAATTTATTGACACCTCACTTAATTGAAAATTTGAAAATATTATAAAACCTCAATTAAATTGTAACATTTTTATTTACACTCATTCGTGCGAGCTGAAAACTCTAAAATTAATAAATACACTTCCCTAACCAATTGCAATCTCACACCAATCGTATCCGACACAACCAGTTTTTTTGGAAATCATGCCCTAACCTTCTTCAAATCTCTTGGTAAAAAAATCCGCGCCATCACTGGTGACCCACAGGAAGGCTTCTATTTCAGACAGCGATCTATTGATATATGCAGATCTAACTGCATTGCCATCCACGGCTCTCTTTCTTGACCTCCTCCCACCTAACATACAATTTACTATACTAATTATTTTTTATTATACAGTTTTTTATATAGATTTTAATTTACAAATAGTTTACATGATATTTTTAAATTACGTATATATGTTTTACTTTTAACGTTCAAAGTATTATTTTAAAATTGTGATATAGTTTTATATAAATCTATGATATTCCTAATATAATAAAATGAATTTATTATTTTAAAAAAAATTATACAAATATTATATGATTTTAAACAATACACTGAACCAGTTGAACCCGGGTTCAAATAAAATTCCCGGGTTCGGTTCGGGGTTTTTAAAATTTTATAAACGGGGTTCAGGTTCGGTTCGGGTTCAGATTATTTTTCCAAAAACCCCGGTTTTCTTCTCCGTGTACAGGTTCGAATCCCTATGTAATAGTATATAGAAAAAGAATTTTTTTTGTTTATATAAATTCAGTGTCGAATTAGATATGAGTAATTTATGTCAGTGGTATGACATTATAAAAAATTCTTTTAAAAAGAAAATAAATTTGTTTGTGGAATCATTTTAAAAAATTGTGCAAAAATCAGTTTATTGACTAACAAATATCATTAAAGAGGGGTTTAAAAGGATGGGAATGTGTGTTGATCCATTTTTAATTAATGTTGGTCTATTTTGAATGACCTGTTAATGTTGGTCTATTTTGAATGGTGTGTTAATGTTGGTCCGTTTTGAATTGTGCGTTGGTTCATTTTTAATTAACTGTAAAATGATTATATTTGTAAATGATAGATGTCAGATTGAATTTAAAGAAATCTGATGCAGTGTGAAGCATTTAAATTTAAAGAAATCTTATCATTAGGATTTGTTTTAACGATGAGTTGTAAGGCATTTAAATATAAAGATATTTTATGATTTGTGTTAATGATGAGGGGTGAGGCATTATTTAAAGATATCTTATCATTATGATGTGTTTTTAATGATGAGGTGCCCGGCATCATTGGAGTACACAACATCATTTAATTATCCTTTGCCCGTCCAACGATTATGTTATCAATATACCCCTTCCCTATTTTATTTTTTTCTAATTAAATTTTCTTTAAAAAAAATATGTCCGTGATTATGTATTTTTAATAATATTGTATTTAAAATCGATATTTTTATTGTTATGGAATGATCCATATAAAATAATATATATCATAAATGTTCCATAAAATGATCTACGTATGAGATATTGGTAGCCGAAAAGCTCTGACTCAAATTGAAGATTTAAAATGATTTACGTATGGTAAACGATGAACTCGGAAGCGAAATGAACAATTTAAAGTAATTTACGTAGGATTATGGTATCATGTGGATTCTGTAGCAAAATGAATGGTAGCAGATGAATTCTGATTCAAAGTGAAGCATTGAAAATGATTCTTTTTAAAAATTAATGATTTTTATTTTTAAAATGTTATTTATTATGAAATAGTATTTTGGGGAGAATGTATTACGCGGCCTGTGATTATATCATAACAAATGACAATCAAATAATATATAAAGTAAAAAATAAAATTATTGGAGTTTATAATCTGAGGATATAGATATGCAAATTTTCAAATTATTTCACATATACTATACCAGGGTTGACAACTCGGTCAATTGACTACGTAAAATATTCTAAAAAATCTGAAGAAAAAAAAATTAAAAATATGTTTGAAATAAGAAAAAACGATATAAATACATGTGTTCATAATACCAGGGTTTCGAACCGAACCCCGCCAAACCGGAATGAACCGTTATGATTTTCTGAACCGTAACCTTAACCGAACCGTTATAAAGAAAATATAAAAAGAGCGAACCGAACCGTTATAAATATTTTGCGGTTTTAAAAAATAATTAATTTTAAATTATTAACCTAAATTTAAAATTTTAATTTTCCGGGGGCATTTTTTAAATTGGTGATTTCTTTCCAAATTAAATATTTTTATATTATCAACATTATATATCAATCATTACCAAGTTTATTGTTTTTTTCTTTAAATACTTATTTTAGACATTAGGCAAATTATCTGTTAATTAGATAAGATATCTTAAAATCACACATAATTATTCTTAGCTAAATTTACAAGTTTATATATATAAGTTATTAATAAGCTTTTAAAATAATACTTGCTAATAATTTAGGAAAAAATTAAATAATGTTAATATTAATAACTAACATCTAATAGAAATCAAGTACTTTTTACATTCATTTTAATATTATATGGTTTATTTTTTATCTCATTATAAAAACTTGGATCATAGAATTTAAATGACAATAAATATAATGGTCAGCAATATTTTAATGATATAATAATTCTTTATTTATAATCATTTTGTTTTTTAAATTCAGAATTCTAATATTCATTTAAGTCATTATAAATTTTAAAATAATATTTTTAACATTTGAAGAAAGAGAGATCGCCAGAAAACATCTTTGTAAAACTTGGAACTTGATATAAAGTCTAAATAATCAGAATTTTGAAATTCTAAATACTATGCGTACGTGTTCGCATTCGAAAGATAAGATGATGATTTTGAAGATTTATTAAAGTCGCATGAAAGTCTTAATAATAATAATTCTCAGGGCATAGAAAACTGAAATAGAATATATAATTCGGTCATTTGATAAAATAGAGAGATTAGAAAAAGATACTAATCTTTTGAATTATTGGGAAAATGTAAAGAATAGTATGCCAGAACTTTATAAGTTACCTATAACTGTGCTAGCAGTTCCAGCTATGCAGGTATCAGTAGAAAGAGCATTTTCTAGCCTTAGGTTATACTCTTTGCGCAGAGAACTAAATTAAATCCTTAAATATTAGAAAATATTTTAGTTATCCGTTCTAATTCTCCTTTTAAACTATATTTTATTATATTTATGCGTTATTTTATTCATCATTGTATTTACACATGTTTGTTTTTATCTTATTTATTTATGAAATAAAAAAAATTAATTTGTCAAATTTATATTTACTAAGTTTAATAAAAATATCTATTAGATTATCATAGTTAAATTAAATAAGAAATTATAAATTAAAAAGATTTTTCTCTAAAATTAATATATACATGGTTAATGATTAATTTTTTTTTAAATCAAATTTATAAAAACCGGAACAAACCGAAAAGAACCGTTATAAATTATCCGAACCGATATGAATTTAAAAAAAAAACCGAAATGGAACAAAACCTTTATAAAATTTTAAACTAAATCGGAACAAACCGAACCGTTATGCTTAACGGTTCGATGTTTATTTATTGCGTCCCAATATCAAGGAGTCTAACTATTAGTGAATTTAATGAAGTATGTAATATAATACATTAGGCATTACAAGGTGGCGAGGCGATGATCAAAATATTTCAAGTAATATCATAAATTTCAGAAGTAAAAGCGGCATGTTTAATAGGAAATTATGTGGTAAGCAGGAACTTACATAAGAAACAATCAGATTCTATCTTCAAGATAGTGGATTGGGCTTTGCCATAGGCGTAGCCAGGGGGGGGGCAAGGGGAAATTCCCCCCCTTCAGAAATTTAACACTTTTTGTAAATATCATTTTTAGCTAATAAAAAAATATCCCCCTTAGTCCTCCCCTCACTCCCTGACCCTCAAATATGTATGCATATATCTTAAATAATAATTTAAAAGAAAGAATGTAAAAGTTGATATTTTTTATAAAACTATTCATCATTTTGGGAAAATAAATTTATAAATATGTAAATAGAACCAAAAATGTTTTTTAATAAATGGAATATAAGCCAAAAATAAGTCTTAAGACAGAAGTGAAATGTATTATAATTATTAATAATAGATCCATAAGATTACTAAATAATATAATATATCAAATATAATTTTTTATAAAGTGAGTAATTTTAATTTATTTATCTTAATAATAGTAAAATATAATTATAAAACTATTGATAAAATTAAGTCATAAATTAAAAAAATATTAAAGCACAATACAAACAGTGGAATATTATATGTCATAGATTTACAATATATCTAATTATCAAATGACAATCAAGTAATTTTTACCAATATAGCGAACTATATATTTTACATAAAACTATAAAATATTGATAAGGACATCAGAAAATATATTTTAAAGACATTGTGGGATGAATAATATGAAGATTAAATTTAAATATCATTTTTACTTAAAACAAATAGATGGCGTTAAATAATTGAATGCAAATTGTTGCTATATTTAATATCAAGAGCATTGATTAATAAAATTTGTTAAATTATTAATTGTAATATATTCTCTAACTGTCAAATATGTCCGTAAAAGTGGAATTTTACCTAGTATTTTATAACTAATTCTATATAATAGAGTGAAATCAACTATATGTCTACTTACTTTTTATAAATAAATTTCTTATAATAATTTGGAATAAATTATTACCATGCTTTAATATTAAGGTATATACAATACAGGTAATTTATTATATTTTTATTTTATATAAGCTAATAAAAATATATTTCATATTTGTTTCCAGGCTTATTTTTTGTATTAAAATTTGTAAAAATATTTTATGACTATATATAGACTAAAGTAACCCGGCCGAAGGCCGGGAAAAGCGGGTCAAAGGCCCGCCTAAAAGGGGGTCTGGGGGCGAAGCCCCCAGTAATTTTATAATTCCCCTCCCCCTTATGAAAATCCTGGCTACGCCTATGGGCTTTGCAAACCATTCCCATTAATAGAATCGGCATTTTACTAACAATTCCTATTTCTACTTCTTATTCAGAATGAAATTGGTCGATTTGGGTTTATATTCTTATTAAAACTGAAATCGATTGAAGAAACAACAGGAAAATTAATTAGAAAATATTTTAAAAAATGATACTATTAAATATGAATTAGGAGACTCTGCCACAAAGAGCGAAACATCAGGTATTGAATGACAATGAATTAAAGAAATATTATAAAATTAATATTATATATTCATTTCACTATTATATAAAATAAAAAACATTTTGAATTTGACCATATTTGAATCAATTGACCGAATCATATTTGACCGAACAAACACCTATCTTTTAAATAATTTAATACTTCTAATACTACATTGTATAAGCATTATTAATATTTTATAGAATTTCAAAAATAGTTTTCCTCAACATAAGAGAACGAAATATTTGGTTCCATGTCAATTCAGCGAAATTTTTATTGCAAATGTTTATTATAGCGAATGGATTTAATAGTAAACCTTTCTTCGCGAATCCACATTAGCGAATACTATTCGGGAAGACAATATCGTGAATTTTTTATAGGCAACTCTTATCTGGAACCCTTTAGAGTGAAACTTTTATTTTTTAAAGCGTCATCGCGATTTGGGTTTCGCTAAAAAAAATTTGCTCGTGGCGATAATGGCTAATAATGACTATTTTATTTTAAATCATAATTATAAAACGATGTTAATTTAAATATTTGGTTAGGGTACCTTTTCAGGGGCAATTATTTTTGTCATTTTTTTATGCGATTTTTTTTATGTAATTTTTTTATGAAAACTATTGTTTTTATGTTATTTTTTTATGATTAGTTCATTTTCTTATTGGTTAATTTTTTTTTAAGATATTTTTAAATTAATATATCTTTTTTTATTTAAGATATTTTAAAATAATTTTTTCTAAAATTTAAAATTCGTACAATTATTTAAAGGAAGTAATGGGGGCAAATAAGGGGGAAGGCTAGGGGTAAGGGGTAAAATTATTAGATTATGTACAATGCGGGTAGGTTTGGGGTTAAATTTTTGATAGATGAAACTTCGCTATTTAAAATTTATTTGGTTGATTCTTTCTATACAAACTTAATATGATTTCTTCTAAACAAACTTAATACGATTCCTTCTATACAAACTTAATATGATTCCCTCTATACAAACTTAATATGATTCCTTCTATACAAACTTAATATGATTCCTTCTATATAAACTTAATATGATTCCTTCTATACAAACTTAATATGATTCCTTCTATACAAACGTAATATGAATAATTTTTTCTAAAATTTGTATAAAGAATTTAATTTTTTTTAGTGATAACACTATAATTAAAGGAAGATTCCAAAAATAAATAAAATTTAAGCATAACAATCGAAATAATTTATTCATTAAATTGAAATATACTATTAAAATTTATACAATCATTAATAAAATGAATAAAAACATCAAAACGATTTAATAATCTATATTTTCGAAAATATCTATATTCAAGAAGATATTCATGAATATTATCCTGATCCCCATGTCTTTTATAATTTGCCTTTAGATCCCGCCACAGCCTCTCGACTTTTTGAGTGTGGATCGATCTGTCATTTGGATCAACAAAATTTTGCGAATGGTTGATCCGATAGTGGAAATAGTTGGAACTTTCTAGCCGATTATATCTAAGATAAATATATTTACATTTATCACCACTTTTGCTTTATTGAAAAAATAAATTCACATACCCTAACCACGAGTCAGTCATTATCGTGGAATCTTGCATAACATTATCTTTAACCACACGATAGGTGGTATCTTGATCTCTTGTTGTGGTGGCACTTAAAAATATCTCATTTGTTTCCCGACATATACCACCAATAATCCATATAGCCTCGGAAGTCAAATGCCGACCACGGTTATATTTACGCTTCCATACATGAGTTTCATCAATTTCAATAACGTGGCCAGGCCCCCCGATCTTTGAATGATTCGAGGCTATATGGAATCCACATACCTTTCGAAATTTTTTAAACCTATATAAGTGAAGTAAAAAACCATATTATACTTTAGATTACCATCTTGAAATTGCCTTCTTATCATAATCTAACTCTTTCGAAGCAGTTAAAATTTTATAACGGCCTAAAAATAATTTTGTTTAATATTTTTTAAAGAATTGGTACTTATGTACAAGTACACTAGTCTTAAAAATCTCCCAACATCATGAATTCCTTCAAAAATGGAATCTAAAAATTCGTCATTTATGAATGAAAATTCATTTTAAAAAAAATGGAAGGAATTATATAATATATATTGGAACTAAAAATATTTGCCCCCATCACTTCCTTTAAATAATTGTACGAATTTTAAATTTTAGAAAAAATTATTTTAAAATATCTTAAATAAAAAATTAACCAATAAGAAAATGAACCAATCATAAAAAAATAACATAAAAACAATAGCTTTCATAAAAAAATTACATAAAAAAAAAATCGCATAAAAAAATAACAAAAAATCGCATAAAAAAATAACAAAAAATAACAAAAATAATTGCCCCTGAAAAGGTACCCTAACCAAATATTTTATAAATTGAAAAATTGATTTAATTACAGTTTTTAATTTTTTTAACCCCAATAAATTTATATAATATATCTCGAGCTTAAAGTTTAGTTTAGAAAATTTACTGTAGGAATATAATTTTTTATGCTACCCTGTTCTTCCTCGAAGTTTTATTTTATAAGAATCGTGCGGAACTGAGGCTTAAGGATTAATCACTGTATTCGTCTGAAATCGTTTGATATAAAAAAATACGTCTTATTTTCTAGTATTTAAACTACTATCTAAAATATAAATACTAAATACAAAAATTTTGTATTTTAATACAAGTATTCACGTTACTGCCCAACAGTGTTATGAGTAAAAAAAATTTTTATTTATATATTTAGATGTAAAATTTTTATATTTTACGGGTTCTATCATCAATCCTCTTGCAGTAGAAGGTATATCATAAAAATTAAAAGAAATAAAACGTTTATAATTTGGCCAAAATAAGAACACAAAAATGACAAATAACATGTAATTTGATGATGTAAAACTAACTCATAAATGCACTCAAATCTGAAAAATTCTACCCAACCCAAAAACACAGCCTATCGATCCGCCCCGTAGGTTCCATCAAGTTCAAAAATTGGGATTATCTTTTATATTATTTTCTAGGGATGTACCGATATTTTTTATCGGATCGGATGGGGCCGATATTTTACTCATTTGAAAATAACGGTTATCGGCCAATATTATAAAATTTTAAAAAAAAAGTTATATCTAAAATCATTTATTTTTATAAATAAAATCGAAATCCATTTTTATGTATATTTTTTTAATAATAATAATTAATTAATAAATATTCTGTTATATTGTTAATTTTTTTGCGCATTGTGTTTATAAAAGTGTGCGATAATCTCTTCAGAATCTGTTTTTAATGAAGTTGGTGATATTGACAGTTACCATCGCCGTAGGCTGACTTCTGGTAAATTGGAAATTTTAGTATTTCTAAAAAGAAATCTTCGATATATTAATGTTAAATATTATTTTAATATTTATTTCAAATTTCATAATATATTAAGATTATATTACTTATTATATAAAAGTGATTTAACAATAAAAATATCTTATATACTTTTAGAATTGCAATTGAATATAAACTATAACTGATCCTTGTAATATATTTAAATGACATAAGTTATGGTATAGTTAAATTATAGATGTTATACTAATAAAAAGTATATTAAAAATTAAAACCATTGGTATCTTTACAGAATACAAAATTTGATGATATCGGGTAATCGGCGGATATCAATTTAATATCGGGAATAAAGGATCGGATCGGCCTCCAAAAAATGGTATCAGTACCCTATTATTTTCGGGATGGCTAGAGTCGGAATTCTTTTTGTAAGGATAGGGTCTGCAACATTTTTGCAATTTTAAATTTATATCAATAAATTATTGTTTAATTGTATATTATTTACGTTCATTTTCGATTATTGCTTAAAAAATATACTGGATAATAACTCAATTATATGGTAATTTTTTGTATTTTGATTTTCGGATAGAGTTGGATAGGTTCAGGTTGAATCAGATCGAGAATTCGTGGGGGGGGGGATTGGTTGGGTAATAAAAAGTCGTTGAGACGAAAATATTAGTCTCTTGCAAAAATTATAGAATGTATTAAAATTAGGACATTGCTGATATTAAATATCAGATCAAATTGGAGCCGATATTTACCATTCAAAAATAAATCCGATTGGACCGATGTTTAAAATATATACGATATTATTATATTTTTTGTTATTTTATGATTGTATATATAATTGTACATTATTTTATTTTATACATATTTCCTATTAAATAATAAATGAATAAAAGGAACCGGAATTGAATTTATCAGTAATGTAATCGAATATAAAAAAGAGTAGCTAAAAAAATGTGATATTATTAATTTTTGTTATATTATTTACCATTTCAACAGGAAAAGAATTTTAAATATTTAACAAGTCATAGCAATAAACATTTTTAAGATGGTTAATTTTTGGAGAATAGAAAAAAAAACAAAATACACTTACAAATTTTTATATTATAACTCCCAATCCACTCGCCAAGACCAAGTGCCACCTATTATTAATATCACCTTAGCTATGAAAAATGAAAATTTTATAAGTATTTTCAGGATTAAATGTCTTGGACAAAAAGACACTGGGGTCATTTCATGTTAATTCGACAAAAAAGCACTTACGGCCTATTATTCTGGTAAAAATTAGCATAAAGATTAGATAAGTTATAATTATAAAAGAAATTTGACCATGCCTGCTTACGGATATGCTAAGAGTTAGTGGTGCAAAAAAAAGACTTTTTACCTATTTCGGATATTAAATAATTAGTTATTAATTAACTAAATGTCTCTGAAAAATCTAGTTATAAATGATTTATAAAAGATTGATGATTAAATGAGAAATTTTTACACGTATAAATGAAAAAACAATTCTAAAAATTTCCATTCATTTAATTTTTTTCTACCAAAATTAGTTCTTTTTGTCTGGGACATATATGTCGGGGTCGGGGTTCTTGTTTTTTTTATATTGATTCAAAAATCTAGATGGCAAATCAAAATTATTCTAAATATCAGATTGGTAAAAAAAATTGTGAATCGGCATAACCATAATTAAATTATTATAAATTGGCAGATATAAAAATGATAACATAATATAAATAAAAAAATATTTGCTAATTTATATTGGTTTGTTCATTAATTCCGTGGATACCGAATTTCGTTTAATAAGATTTGAAAAATCATGATTAAATCAAAACAAATCATGATTTTTAAATTTTTATAACGACTTGTAGCAGTGATGAAGCGTCCATAGAAGCATGGGAAACATTGCTTTCTTGTAATTTTTCTTAAAAAAATCATATAATCTTTTTGCTACATTAAGCTGTGACCTAAATACCAAAAATATAATTAATAAACTTCAGTTACCTTAAAAAAAGAGAAATAAGCTATTTTTAATGTAAAAAGGCATAAATCATTTTTTCGAATTAACGAAAGTTATTAATTTGTTAAAGTTAGAGAAATTAATAAAATTATAAATTTTAGCTTTATTTTTACGCTAAAAAAGGTAAATAATGTTATTTATATTTTCGAAATTATAATAAGAAATGATGTGAAGTATTAAATTTTTTTATTATGCTGAACCATGATATAAAAGAATAAGTGCGTTTTACGCGCGTTTTCTTTATTTTTTTAAAATTTATTGTTATTTATTCAATATTATATTTTTGGCCTTATGAAATAAGATATGTCTAATATAGGGTATCAATATCAACCGATAGCTAACAAAAGATCTATTCAACTGGAGGTGAATCTCTCCCCCTTAATGGGCGAGTCTAGGTCTGGAGGGGGGGGAGTGAGGTTTTTATCAAAACAAAATCAAATAATAGCTAATTTAAATATCTTTTGATTGAAAGTCTACATTTTTGGTCTTAATGTGTATGACTTGGTCTGGGGGGTGGATAGTAGGGGAGGGGGGGGGGCAATATATTGATATGGATATCAAATAAAGATAATTAAAATATTTTTTTATTGTCATAATAATAATCACATAGAGGGCCGGTCAGGTCTTGGGGGGTCAAATATTTTTAACAACATAAATATCGTATAAATATCAAATAAAAGCTAATTTAAATATCTTTTGATTGAAAATATTCATTCTTGGTGTTGATGGGTATAACTTGGTCTGGAAGGATGCATGGTAGGGAGGGGGGGGACAAAAAATATTTTTTTTGGATATGGGTATCAAATAAAAGGTAACTAAAATATTTTTCATTGTATAATCACTCATAGAGGGCGGGTCTAGATCTTGGGGTGTCAGAAATATTTTTATCAACACAAAATATCGATATGAATATCAAATAAAAGCTAATTTAAATATCTTTTGATTGAAAGTATTCATTCTTGGTGTTAATGGGTGGGTCATTCTACGTCAAATGAGCAAAAAAATGAGATTTTCGGCCGACCCCCTTTGATTTTTTTAATAAAAATAGCCAAATAGCCTCCTAACATTTATATTTTAGGAAGATATTAGGGTTCAAAATGAGCAAAAATGACGTATTTTTACCATTATTGCTTTCATTCAATTATGCATATCTTAAAAAACATAATTGTAGTGTTGTAATGAACGCGTTCGTGAACGAAGTACGTTTTTTTTGAAAAAAATGATGAACGGCGTTCCTTTTATTTTTGACGAACTTTGAACGTGAACGCGTTCCTTTTTTATGATGTACGCGTTCGAATTTAACGTTCGTTCAATTTAAAAAATATTTTAATCTTTATTTATTTGAAAAATTTAATATTTCCGAATTTTTAAAAAAAATGTATTATTTATATTTTTTAATCGGCTGTGTATTTCCTTTCACATTTCAATTTTTTTAACACATAGTTTATTAATTTGAATATTATTGTTTATATTTTAATTTAATAGATTAGCATAAGCATGGATATTATTATTTAATACTCATCATCTGATTCTGAAAATCCAAAATCAGATGAATTATCATTACTATGGCCAAATATGATAAATGTTTTACATTAGCATCCTATATTGAAGGAACTAATCCAATGCTTACCAAGTGTAAAATGTGGCCAAAAAGTATTATATTGTCAAAATCTTAAGGTTCCAATTTAAAACGACATTTGTTTAATTATTTGATTTTATATGATATAACTAAGTTAAATCATTAAATTTGAAGAAATCATGCATTTGGGATGTTTGACCCCAACAATAACGATAGTTATTTTAAAATTAAAAAAATTTGTGGCCTCAAATATGGTCAACCATTGATAGACGCCGTATTAAATGGGATTAATAAAGGGTATTAAACCTATCGCTCTCAATTATTACATATATTTTATTTTTTTAAAGATTTGAACATAAATATAAGGATCTATATGTTCTTTCTGCAATTATACATCCAGCAAATTTCAATGGCCATAGATAAAACTTCCACAGAACGAACCTATTAAAAAATAAACTTATAGCGTTATTGAAAAAAATGCTGAAAACCCTAGAGAAGTGTTAATTTCGAGATATCCTTTTTTTGTCGAGAGTAGAGAATAGATTGGAGGAGGATAACTTATCTCAATTTTTTGCAAATAACAAAACAATATGTTTTAAATTAATTCTCCACGTTAAAAGAGCTGTTTATTAAGTATAATACAGCAATCCCTTCATCTGCCCCTGTAGAGCGCGTTTTTTAGGCTAATGCAGTATTAACTGCCAAGTGTTCCTGTCTACCAGATAAATATTTTGAAAACAATTGTAATTAAAATTTAATAAGATAAATTTTTTATAAATAAAAATATCTTTTATTCGCTATATTATATTATTTTATTTATAATTATATTATCAAAATAAAACTATATTTTTTTTAACATGGCTAAAATATATTGTATTAAAAAATATAAGTTTGTTTATATTAAATTAAATTAAAAAAAAATTTATCATAAAATTTTGAACGGTTTTATGAACGTGAACGAGTTCGTGAACGTGTTCCTTTTTTTTGAACATGAACTTGAACGCGTTCGATTTTTTTAGAAATGTTTACAGCACTACATAATTGTAAATAACAAATTTAATATCATAATTACGTACAAAGATTCTAATTTTAGATAAAAATTTTTTTTATCTTTTTTCTAATTTTCGGCCATTTTATTTAAT